CAGACATGTTAAACTAGTGAAGGAGTTTCTGAGAGGAGACAAAGAGAAAATGATAAGAAATCAACTTTTGGGACATTATTTCCTTCAAATAAATTAAAGATCAAGCTTTTTAAAAGTAAACAGAAGGAATATAAAGTGGATTTATTCAGTCAGGGTTAAAATACATATGTTGTGCTTTTAATGCAATGTTTTTTTACCAGGACTAATTGACAAGGTTTTAAAGATTTGTTTATAGACAACAGATACGATATGGGGAGATATTTCTTTTGCTTTATTTTTTAGAGAAAGTGATGCTAGAATATAAAATGGATTTATTTAAGGTTAAAATATATGTGTTATTATTTCTGGTAGCTCTTAATGGACTTGCTGATTAGGACTGAATGATGAGTTTTTACAGTTTGTTAACTGAGAAAGGATGAGATATGGGAAGAAGAGATTTTTTAAAATTTAAATATTAGAGAAGGTGCTAAGTTACTGAAGTTGTTTATATTTGTCTGGAGGGACAGGGGAGTTACTTCTTTATATTTCTTTTTTTTTCTTATTTTTCCCCCTTTTTCTAATTGTTTTCCTTTTTCTCTGCACCTTTTATTTTTTATTTTTTTACTTTTTATATTCTTCTTAGTTTGTATTAGTTTTTTATCTTTGCATTTGGAGACACTTGGGTGAGACTATTCTGCCCTCCTCTTCCTATTCCACTTTGCATTTCTTGCCAATTGCTATTCGTTCTGGCTATAGTAACCCAAGTCTTCATCTACATCTACCCAGTTAGCTGTCCTCCCTAATAAAGAACATTGGAGGGTTTTTTTCCTTTTCGTTTAAAACCTGGATGACAGAAATGCGAGACTCGTTCCCCGCGATGTAAAGTCGGAATCATAAAACCAATTACTATTGGGAGGGGACGGGAGGATGCAAAGGTTCAGCGCAGAAAGCGGAAAGAACCAACCTGTTGTCCTGCGCAGGTCTACCTGGAGCGGGCGAGGCAGGTAGGCGGGTAGCGTTACGGCCAGAAGGACTTCGCGCATGACTAGATGGGCGGGACGGCTGAGCCGCCCCCGAAAGAAACGCCTCCGGGAAAGCGAGACGGAAAAGGGATTGTTCTTCTGGCCATTGTTCCTCCGTCCGTAGCGGGATATTCTGCCCGCCCTTTTGTCTGAAAGAGTGAGTGGGCATGTTATTACCGGGGTGGGAAGATCCGGTCCGAGCAGAGCGGGCGAGGCTGGCACGCTCGCGGCAGAAAGGCGCCGCTGTGTTGTCCCGCTCGGGGCTTTCGGGAGAGGGAGGAGCGGGTGCAAGGTGCCTGTGCTGTTGCGCGATTTGTGGGGGCCAGAGGAGAGGAAAATGGGAAGCAGTTGGGAATTGGGTGGGAATTCGCCTTTCTGAGACGCTTCTGGTGAAATCCTGTGGATATTTCCTTGGAAGTGAGGCCCGCTAAGTTTAATGGGTTATACTCAAAGGTAAGCGGGTGAAGGATTGTAGATTTAAACGTGTACTTTAATGCTGGCAACTAGTAAGTATGCGTGGGTAATGTTAAGTCTCCCGCCCCCGCCCGCTCTCTCTCTCTCTAGGCAGCCCAACAGGGCAGGGGTTCTCAACCTTTTTTGCTCGGTTACCTCTGTGAACCCCTCATAGTCGCCGTTAGCTGGAAAAAAAGGTTCTTTGCCATCCGCACTGTTTATTAATCTAAACTGTATCATATAAAGACTGTGGCCTTCTAGAAATATGGCATGCCTTTGGGGAGAGTGTCAGATAGCCTACATTGAGAACCACTGGAATAGAGAATACTGGGGAAAGGAGTGAGGTATTAGCATTTTTGACATTGTTTTCTTCACTATCTAAATTATGGTCTCTGCGCTGCTCTTTCCTGTGAACCTATTTTGGATTCTCTCAGACTATCCAGGCGTCTTGCTGTTCCCTAAACTGGGCCTCCTGTTGTGGCAGACTGGACTTTGAACTTGCACGTGAGGCAAGTTTAAGCTTTTTTCCTTATCCATTGCCATCTTCACTGTTGTAGTTTCACAGGCTCTGGAAGAGATTCAGGCATTAAATTATGATTAAACCCAATATCAAACCCAAAGCAATCCAAGTGACTTGGGAGTTCTGAGTTGCCTTATTATGGAAGGACTTGTCTCTCAATTAGTTCATATTAGTTTTTTCTGGCTGTGAGTGCAGGAATTCAGCTCGCTTTCCTTTTTAAGGCTTTATTTGAAGTATTTGTCCCCTGCTTAGAAAAAATATGGTAATTTTCAGAGTTTTTTTAATTATTATTTCTGAAACAGGGGAAAAGGTCACAAATGTCTTCAAGGAATACATCACTGGAGCACAGAGCAG